AGTAGTAATTCCTTCAAGCTCCTTCACTGCATAAACAGTTTTAAATGAATTACCGGGTACAGTTTTAATTGAAAACCACACAAAAATAAATAATTGAATACAATTTTATGAATCCTCAAAAGCCAAGTTTTTCCTTTTCGTGCAGATTACCAATATAGGCAATAATTCTTGGAACAGCCACGAATTCATATCTAATACTTCAAAGCCGATCTCAATAATTCAATGTCTCAGAAGATATAAAAAACCATAACGATATTTTTCTTCTACGCGAGTCATCCATCAAATTTTATCGCAAGCATAATTTACCAGGCATTTCGAAAAGCATAAAATGACATTGCATAAATATTTCAGGAGCGTGACTCAACAATTAGAAACAGAAAGGAAAAAAAGAAGAAAAAAGACTTTCCAATGCTTTGTGTATTGCGTGATTTGATTTACATGCGCGATAATATTTTTGGAACATCCATGTTACGCATAAATGCGCACATTAGTGTCGATTTCGATATTTTGTCTCATCTATATATATCGTACTGTCCATCAAGATTCAATGCGATGAATATCAATACACAACTGAAACTCATCATTCATGTATTGGATGCGTATTATTCTAAAGCTGACATCAATAATGAATATTTTTGTATCACTAGGGGGCTCTGCCTTCTAGTAATATAAAAATATACATTAAATAGTATTACATAATTGTACTAATTTACTTCTACCTTATGATTTAAATATGATTATTACGCTACTTGCTTACATACTAATTGCTACACATACTGCTGCTGGTATATACACCATTAAGAGCATCTAATAATTAGTTTAACAAAATAAAGAAATTGTTAAAATAATTGGTTAAAAATGGCTAAAAATGAAAATTCATCAATTCTTAATTTTTAAGGGAAAATTACAATTAAATACAGTAATAAATTTAGAAGAAAAGCGCTATTAAATTTATGAATAATGAAAACTATTATTAAATTTAAGTATAAACTCAGTATGAAATAAAAATTAACTATAAAATAAGAAGAAAACTTCTGTTAATTTCAAATAAACTTCTATACTCAAAAGAAAAACTACTTTTTAATATTTTAAGTATTAACTCACGTGAAAACTACTATTAAATTTTAATACTAACTTCTATACTATTCTAAAACTACTATTCAATTAGAGAGTAAATTATTGACACACTAATAAATCTGCCCAATATAGGCACAAACTTTGGCGCATAAATAACTTGCACATAATGATACAATCAAATATTAATGAATTGAACGATCATACCTTCGAAAATATTTAAAAATGAATTAGAAATTGTACCTTTTAGATTTTAATAAACAAAACTTTTTATTCGATATGAATTATTTGTTGATGAATAGATTCGAAATATAAGTTTTTAAAAAATCATCTATTTGGAAATTTATTACTTCATCGAATATAAAACAAAGATAAAAAAAATAAATACGAATTGTCTAATATGTCTGATTTCTGTACTAAAAAATTGAACTTATTTTGGACAAATGAAGAATATTACGCTTATGAAGCTAAAAAATGAAGAATATTAAGATTATGAAGCTAAAGAATGAAGAATATTACGCTTATGAAGCTAAAAAATGAAGAATATTGGACTGACAATAAGCTCGGGGAGAAAAATAGTTGAATTTCGTTCTATGGCATAGAATTCTAATGAATTATTTATTTAAGATTTTAGTTTAAATTAGGGGTTTTAAATGCGTGTACCGTGGGGGCCACTAGTACCACTTTGATGATATTTTGTATCTCACCAAATCATCTCACTTCATTTAAAATAATAGTTGGATACGAAAGTGAAAAGTGTCTTACAGGGAGCCAAAAATTCTGGTAAAATTACCGCACTGTGCATTTCTGGTAAAAAAAAAAGTAAAAAGTAACATAACTCGGGTTAATAAAACTAAAATATACGGTTATAAATAGAATTGTAAAAATAAAAATTTATATTTTGCAAATATTTTACCGTTCAAACCATTCATTTGGTAATTTTTCTGTTAACGGTTTACCAGAAATTCTGATTTTCAAAATTATAGTTCTTGTTTAATAAAAAATTAGTAAACGCATTTAATAAAGAATACAAAACAGAAAAGTAAATTTTACCAAATAAAAGGTTTTTTTGCCCCGTCTTAATATATCTTAATAAAATTATCAAATTTTACCATATTTACCAATTTCAATCACTTATTTTAATAACCATACATAACCATATTTTATTTGTTAATTTTACCAAAATCATTATCAAAGACTTTTGGTAAAAACTATCGAGCTTTTTATTGTTCCCCTATAGCCACAAACACGGTTAATTTTACCATATTACGGTAGTTTCGATCATACTTTTTTCCTCAGTGTAAATTCGCGTACAACAAAACAAAACAGAACAAAATAACAAACAGATAACACAAAATAAACTGATTCCACCGTCATCTCCCTAAAACACGAACATATAAAATAAATTTAAAATGTTCAGTAATTTAAATTAACGATAACAGTTATGTAGGGCAAGTTGAATTTTTCAAATTTATTTATGCGTCCCTCTGGGGTAAAATGTTGGAGACCTTCAAATTTAAATAAATAAATTATAACATTGAAAAGCCGCCAACTTTGAGTAGAATTACGGGATCTATATAATCAACTTTAAATACAATTACGAGATTTTATATACAATTTTTACGGGATTTATATAATTTTGGATATAAATAAGAACAACTATAAATACGGAATTTATCTAATTATATTTTCAAAACCATTTTACACATTACAATAAATTAAAACTTCAATTAAGGAAGAATATGCTAAGTTCCCCCAACCAGTTATATATGGTCAATTGGCGTGACTACTATCTAATCTGTAATTAAGTCCTTTCCATATATTTTGCAGTTACACACTGTTAATGGCAACACCTTTAGATTTAAGAAATTAATGATGCATATAAGATGAATTGACTAAACAATTCGGGACAACAAATAAACAATTAAGAGCAGAACCACAATTAAGTTGATTTAATGACCCTGTGAAACAAAACACTTATTTCAAGTAGACACATGCTTGCAATTGTTAAGATTTTTACATGAGCAGACTTGTACATGGTCTTACATGAACATTCACTGATGGACCAATACTGGGTGTCAAGATTTTTTAATATTAGTCCTATATTGGGCTAATATCGGCCCTGTATTGGCTGTATAAAATATCGAGTGAATCTGACAATTCCATATACGGCCAATATCGGAAAATAACTGCCCTTTGGAACCTTATTGATATGTGAATATTGGTCCAATCAGAGCCCAAGTAATTTCGCTGCTAGGGCTAATGATTGGATTAAATTTTAAAAAATTTAAGCCGATGTTTAGGTTTTAATTCAATTTTTGCAATCAATCAACAATGCTTAAAAACGTCACCCAAAACTAGTAAGACACAGCAAAAAATTTTAAAGGAGCTTAATGGAAGAGACATTTAATGTGCTGAAAGACATTTAAATGAGAACATTTAAAAGAAAAGAAAAAGAACAATTTTCACAGAATCGAACTCTGCATTTCAACACTGAAGAAGATTCTTCAATTTTAAAAAAAATAATCCAATAAATTCTCATATTTTGGAACTTTCAGCATTCTCTACTGCAAGAGAAAGTGAGAAGGAAAAAAAAACTATTTATTTAAAGCTTTGCTACACAGTGGATCTTTATATGCTTTTAAGTCCAAATTTTACACCACTTTTAGAATACGAGCAGGCATTATCATCCGCTCAACTTTTCAAATAATATAGAACTAGACAGTATCTTCCACTAAAATCTTCAAATAATATAGAAGAATTATGCCAAGGCAAAATTATCCATCATTCTATTTATGAAGCAAAGTAACGTAAATAAATCACAAATTAAAGTACAGGGATGAACTTACTATAGACTTAGTTCTATAAATTAAGAACCTTCCTCAATGTCCAAATGTTGTATTTATAACTTCTAAATTTTGCATCGTATTATGAGAAAGGTTTTTGTTTTCTATAAAACAAGAACCCCCCTCAGTGTGTAAATAGCACAAGCACTCAGTGTCTAATAAAGCACAAATTAAGATCCAGAAATGAACTTACTATAATTTGGTTATATAAAACAAGAACCTTCCTCAGTGTCTAAATTTTTCATTTATAGTGTCCAAATTTTTCATTGTATTATGAGAAAGGGTCTCCTCAGTGTCTAAATAAAAAATTTAGACTCTGGGGTATGTTCTTGTTTTTTTGCACCCGAAACTAAAGTAAGTTCATTTCTGCACATTTATCTGTGCTTTATTTAAGTTGTTTTGCTCGAAGTATACTGTATTCTTATTTTACTGTATCCTTAGTTCATGCACATAATTTTATTTTTCTGAAATAATTAGTTGGTAAACAAAAAAAAAGGAAGATTATTATTATATTAGCAATTTCCTTCAAATGTCCGATGCCTATCTGTTGCCATTTTAAATATGTCAGAAAAAAACTAAATAAGTAAATTATATGATTTGAGTTCTGGAATTGGGGAGGAGGAACTCTATCAGCAAAATAATTTGGGCCCTCATTGGATCAATATCTTGGCTCAATAAGCATTCAAATGGCCGTTATTTATCGACATCGGCCCTATATAGAATTGTCCGATTCACCATATATTTTACATTCACATTACAGCCAATATCGGCCCTATATAGAATTGTCAGAATCACAGTATATTTTATGTTCCTTATTCAGCCAATATAGGCCCTCTATTGTTCCTATGTAAGCTTATAATGGCCCTATATAGGACCAATATTAAAAAATATAGGCATCCAAATATTGGTCATATAGGATTCATATTCAGCCAATTTTGAGTCCAACTGGGGCCAAAATAAAATTGGTGCAAAAGGAATGAGCTTCTAGCAATAGTCGAAAGAGTTATTGAATTACTGATATAGAACAAAAGAAGAATGGCACTGTCTTATATAGAACATTAGAGCATATGGAACACTTACCTGTAATAATCTTCTTTACAATAAATATGGCCATCTTTCCAAAAACATGAAAGTTCTTCATCTAGTTGTGCCTTGCACTTATGACACTTTAAACAATAGACATGCCATTGTAAGTCAACAGCATTTAAATAATAACGGTCCACTATATGCCGGCCACAACCCGCACAGTCGTTCGGAGGCGGGGGAGTGTCAAAGTCCGAAGACGATATGACAGGCATGATCCGACTGTCCGGTGGATGGCTAGTTACCATCTGTGGACCATACGCTTCCGAAGAAAGGGTTCTCTGGTATGGTACCAGGGTGGCCGTTGGTGTGGTTTCGTTAAAAAACAAAACAGAAGTTACAATAATATTTACCAACGCACCATTAATTTACCAAAACGCCACTATTTCAGATATTTTGAACTAAAACATCTATAATTTGTAACATCAAATAATATGGAAAAAACTATGCAACACGACTATGTAAATTAATTTGCATGAATTGTATTTCTATAACACGTGCTGTCTAGAACACAACTAAACTTGTACAATGAAAGAATAAGATCGTCGCATGTCACACTTGCAAGACCCAACAACGGTCTTTAGATGAAGTGGCTAGTCTACCGACGAGTGAAACATTAAGGAGACGCCTCTTTTTTCATTGCACCAATGACATTAAGAAGGCGTTACTAACGGGCGGGGTTAAAGTGATGCAATCCTGCAGGCAATGGAATAGCAGGTTTCTGTGTTTATTTTCCAGCGTTTTTGTTATTTTTCAAACGCCCTTCTGGTTCTTTTCGTTATCGTTTCTGCATTTTTCCCACATAGCACTATATGATCCTTTCGCTTCTTTGTTTTGTTTAGCACTTTTTTTTTTCGACGCAAGGAAAAATTACGTTTCTTAATAGGAAGATTTCGGGGAAAGCGTTAGTTTTGTTTTCGTTTTATTACGATCGTTATTTCAAAATTTTTTAAAATTTGAAATCAATGGCCGGTAGTTGTTTCTTGGAATTCTTTAAAAAGGATTCAGAAAAAAGAAATTTGATGCATATAAGATAATAAAATAATAAGATGATAAAAAGCGAATACAGTCACAGTTCGGAAGTGAAAAACAATTTGTTTTATTGAATCTTTTATTTATTTATTTATTTAAGTTTCATTTTCTCAGAAATCATTCAAATTTACTTAACCTTTGCTATGATGAATAGAAAAGTTCAGATTTATTAAAGTTTTCTAGGAAATAAAGGCTTTAATATTGTTTTTAAAATAATTCTACGAGATTTATTTTCTAAATTTTCCAGCATATTAAAAGGTTAAAAAAAAAAAATCAGAAAATATTTACTGATAACAGTGCCAAAGATTATGTTTTTTATTTTCTTACTAACAAACAACACGAAATATTTCTCTGACATTCAAATAATTGGATGGCTGGTCTTCCGCGAAGCAATTAACTGTTTTAACACATACATTTTTCTTAATTATTTTTTCGAAATAAATAATGATTTTTTCCTTGAATACTTAATATGAGTAGGTTTTAAAATCATCGTCAATGTTTACAAATTTCCCGAGAAATTTTAAATAATCATCACTTTCAACAATCCTCTACCCTCCTCACGCCTATGGAGATAAGGAGCATCACAAATTGAGGAGGGGGGGAGATATAAATGATAATGAAAGATAATTTTTTACGCCTGTGTCCGATGGTGGCACGAATCATTTTAAAAAGCAATTTGTCCATTCACGCAATAAAGAAACTCTAAGGGAGTCCTAACTTCTGTGCTGCTTAGCATTAACTATAGACTCTAGCCCCCAATAGAATACACCAAACACAATAGACTAAAGGATTTAGATCTGGTGAGGAAGAGGGCCAATCTTCCTCCTTAATAAATTTCGGACAATTGACATGAAGCTTAGCCTGTGTTGTTTGGGCTTGGTGTAATGGTGCAGAATCTTGTTGAAGTATCTAATCCTTTTTGGGATACAATCTATCAGCGTGTGGCAATAAATGTGCTGCCAATACTTCCTTTTTCTAATATTCATCATTGATTTTACTCCTTTATCGATGAATTTTAGAAGAAATATTACGTTATTTGACAATGCAGCGAAAACTATTACAAAATTCATATTCTGAAAGCGTTGCATAGTTCTTACACTTTCCAGTATATCATCGGAGGTGGCTGAATATACATCATTAGTTTCAGCATAACTTTATTCCGTGCAAGATATCTTCTCATCAGAAAAGATCACTCGGTCAACACTTTTATTACCGTGCTGGTTCAACAATTTCTTACACATTCGTAAACTTTTTAATTTTTGTGCAGTGGTCAAACCTTAAACTTTTCTTTTGCGATGAGGGCGAAAACTCAGGTCTTCATTTAATATAATTTGCATAATTCTTCGATTCACGTTCTCTTCTGCAGCCATTTTATTAGGCAGAACGATTCACGAATGCTTTTAAAGCGCCTTTTTTGTACGAACTGAGCGTGGACGACCGAACCTGGGTTCGTCTTTACAGCTGTTGGTGTCTGATAATCGTTTTATAGTTCTATATACAAATGTTCTATTTGTGATTTTAATGGATTAAAAATTCTACCTGTAGAAAATCCGCGATGGAAAAGCTTTTCAACTATCAACTTTTTAGATTCCGTCTTTAAATTTTTTCTAAATGTTTTGCTTTAAGCAGAAATCGTCTGCGCTTATAGAAAGCTCCGATCACAGGTATAGTGAGAGAATCTGTTTTACCAAACGATTAAAATTAATTCCTACTTTTTTGAGTGTTACATTTTTTGAGTTCGTTAGGTGTAGCGTCATCGAATGATACTCTACCATTAAAATTTAATTCTACCATTAAAATCTCGAACACAAAAATCAAAACTTTAAATTTAAATTTTAAATTTAAAAGGTCTCTTAATAAAGATGCAAGAAACAAATTAGAGCTGAAAATAATTAGCTCAATAATATAACAAGGGTTTTCAAAATGCCAGCAAGAGTACGTTAAATGGTATTATCCACAGTATAACCATCACTGAGCCACGATGGCTCAGCTGTTAAAGGCACATAGTGAATAACTGGGATTTGATAATCAGTAGCGGCTTAAAACCACCCAGATTCAAATCGATGGGTGCCAGATTGCTTTGAACAAAAGGTAGCTTCTACGCAATGCTGACTGCATTACCACAACCATGCGTTTATTCGCTGAATTAAGAAGCCTTGAACTCTATGGTCCCCTTTTACATACGGCTGTCTGTTACAAAAACGCTTTACTTTTTATCGCCATCTCTGTCAAATTACAATTTATACTATAATACATATAATCTTAACAATTGTCTTAAATATGTTTTTTCTACATTAACTGGACTAAGGACAAAACATTATAATGGCATGAAAATACATCCCGATAATACAAGATTATATATTAACTGCAGGAACTGTCCAGATTAACTAAAATCAAAACTAATATTTGATTGGCCAATTTTTACAGCAAATGACTTAAGGCTCGGTATGCTGCCACTTCAAGAACCACTTCAGGAGAACCTCTATAGCTCCGAGGAGCCAGAGCTGACGGCTGCAGTACTTTAATGGCATCTAGAGAACAACCCTCACCCATAGACACGACAACAGCAACACACATAATGAATAAATGCTTGTATAGTTTGTCTACCGGAAGAACTTCCCCCGTCGCAAAGTCTGAGGCCGTCTGTTGCTATGGAAACAAGAATAGCGCATTTCTGGGAGGGTAGCCGACAATTATCCGAAGAAAAAGATTCCCATTCTCTCGCCGACTCTAGTCGACACATGACCTAAACAATGACTACACAACCCTACTTAAAATAGTTATATCTCGTTACCATAGTCCCCGCCACGGGTCCAGACGAATGGCTAGGGGAGTTCTTTAGACTAACTATAAATACTTTGTAACTGATCCACGGTTGTTTTAGGAACATAGCGCTTGCATTGCTATGCGGTGATTCAGGTTCGAAGACCAGCGATGGCTAGCCAATATGAATTCTGCTCTTGACTCACTCCGACCACCTCGCTGCCGTAAAATATCTCCTCGCCGTCAAACTGACCGTGGGAGGTTCTTATTGTTTTTTCCACTCCATGTAACGTAAATACGGGTAAGTTCCGTAAAAAAGTTTTCCATGAAGACTAGCGTGTTCCAATGCTTGACCCAGGCGTTTCCTGGTCTTCTGGTTTGAGTTCAAATCTACAAGGCTTCGGAGCTGAACATTGAAAATGGGTCAGATGTTAAAAGTTGGTTATAAATTCAAATAAACTCCATAGGAATTTTTGAAATTAAATACTCCTTTAAAACTGGATGATTTATTTACGCACTGTAGCGTTAATTTTTATTCATTTATTTATTCATATTTATTTATTTATTTTTTCATTTTTTTTAGTATTATTTTTTATGGTAAGGTATTTTGCATACGAAGTGAAAATTTCGTACATTAACACAAACATCAGAATAATTCAAGCTTAGCTCTGATTAAGGTTAATATCCCCGCCTTTCGAGAAGTACCCAAATACAAAATACACGTTATCCGATACCCGATATTTTGACATTATAAAGCAGGTGAAATTTTTGAAACCGTGAAAGAAGGTCTCCCCAAACATAAACACAAAATTCGACCGGAGCTACATGATATTCGAAATCAGATTCGATCATTTCATATGATCCTAAACAATGGAACTTAATTTTTCGGTCAGATAGAAAAGAAAAAGCACCTGCGGTAGTACCAGGTATCAACTGGCATCTGTCATATTCAATAAAAGATCGCATCCCGAAAGTGAAGGACAGCTGCAGACGCATCGGTCCATGCAACCGCTTCCCCTCTTCCCTGCCTCATCTGGACTCCCCCTTTTCTACATCACACCCACGATATTTTATACAAGAGGGGGGAAGCAGACGATGTTTATCAAGAATATATTCATATTTTTATAAAATCAATACTTTGAGTATAAATTAAAAAAAATAAATAAATAAATAAACAATTGGATTCTTGAAAACAGCGATAATTTTTTGAGTTATCGGGTAAAGATTTGCATGAAACCGTTATTTTTGACGGGATGTGTTCTTAGGGATGAGTTCACATAAAATACCTGTTACAAGTAACCGGTCTTAAATAACTGATCCTTCGTATATTTTTATTCAATTGTCTTCTCTTTTGTCTTAAACAATACAGAATATATATACATAGTCTTCTGCAATGAATACCTTTAATATATATACTTTTAGAATCCTTATAAAAATTATGTAAAACAGTCGACACGTTAGAATTAGCAAATTAATAATAATAGAATTAGCAAAGTGAGATTATCAGTACTTAGAACATAAATTTAAAAAAAAATAAAATAATAATAATTAAAAAATAGGATAGTTGAAAACAGCAACAATTTTTTCAGTTATCGGGCAGAAACTTGTATATAGCCGTTATTTTTGAAGGAGGGTGTTCCAGTAAAATATCTGTTACAACTAATTGTAACAAAATAACTGATCCTTCGTATATTTTTATTTAAGATCTGCTTATTTTGCCTCAGAAATAATACAGAATATATCCATGGTGTTCTGTAATGAATACCCTTAATATATATTTTTAGAATTCTTA